TTAAACAATGATGGATGTGCTGACATTTATAAGTCCCAATAAATTTTAATACATATTAAACTATAATATATACATTCTCCAAGTTTTTTTCTGTCTCTATCTTTAGAGAAAATCTCGTACAAGGTACTATGGATTTTATAATTGAATACAATTGAATAAAATATTTAAATTGATTTTTTTATAATGACAGAGTATCATAATGTGTCAAATTCACATAGACACATACTGTGTGTAAACGATCCTATGAGTTACTGAGGTACAAGTAAAATCAAGACAAAAGTATATAGAGAGAAATGAGGTTTAACGTCCACTCGACACAAACTAGGTCATTTCGAGACTAACACATGGTACAGTTTTATTTCAATAATTCGCTTGCGCGTAGGGTTCTTTAGCAGTGGGAGGAAACCGGAGGACCCGGAGAAAACCCACGAGGCTGGACAGGCGACCCTACTCCTTGTCACGTACAACTGGGAAATCGAAACCACGCCAGTTAGCTCAATGACAGACCTTATGATATAGCGCGCACGTGCTAACCATTCGGCCATTCCCCCAAAGAAAGTAAGTGGAGTTTCTATATACCAAAATAATTAATAACCCATACAAATTCATTTCTCTTGGCTACCAAAAGATTAAAGATTGTCATTTTAATAACCCTTCAGCGGAAAACAAATCGTTATGGTCCACAAAACCGTTGTAAAATTCGCCAGGGCAACCATCCTTGTAGTAAGTTAGTAAGGTCTTTAAAAAGCATCCATGGACAAAACTTCATTCTTAAATTATACCAGCGTCAATCTGATGTTAGTAAAACGTGGTACTGTGATTCGAATTAAAGTCACGGTTTTTGGGGTCCTTGTCTGTGACGACACTTAACTGTGAAAGCAAACATTAAATAAAGGCCTTTCAAACTCATAAACTTGAATGGTTATTGTTTAAAACTAATATCAAAGTTAAACATATTCAAACGCAAAAAAACGTTCTTGTTATTTTAAATTGGAAGAACGGCAACCTTAAAGATACCTTATGGAAGATTAGATAAAGAGCTGGCAGTTCTCACTATAATAGTTAAAAACTAGATAGGGAATTTGCTGAAAATTTCAGTCAAATTGATCCACTCTGAGTCGAGAATTTAGCGATTGAATTTTAGGCCTAGCCTTGATCATCATTACCAAAGTCGGTACGATAGAAAACATAGTCTCGACTATCCATTTGTTTTATTTAATCAGTAAGCGTTGAGCAGCAGATCGGATTCAAATCCAGTAAATATCGCAAGCTAGCGATGACATCGAGAGTTGATTATGGTCTGGATAAGTTAATTAATGTCTAATTAATAATTTAAATAACATTTCAGGCCTAAAGAAAGACCTGTTATAGGCAGATTTAGCTATTGCATAATGTATGTTTAATCTATAAAATAACCTTCTATTTTCAACTTTTAAATATTGGTATCCAATCCACACCGTAATATAACAATCCTGGGCTAATTCTTTATCATATTCTTTCTTCAAGTTATATCTTTTGACTAAAATACAACATATGTCCTGCATTAGACCTAGTGTAAAGCCACTCTTCAATCGCTTGCTTGCCGTAGGCGGAAATTTGGTAGGAAAGGTGCCCCGCCTTCTCTTGCGATCAAGAAAACAAGCTTATAGGTAAATAAAACGGGTTTTGTACGGGGGAACTGAGTAGACTTAAAGCCACAAACTGCCATTCACTACTTGAATGTAAATTACTAGAAAGAAGCCACCGACGAGAATATCTTACAGACATTCATGATGGGAGGATCGGTTTTTTCTTTACTTCATTATGACGTATATGTAGGCCTATATGTCACGCAGACTTTTATCCCGAGATTTCTATAATGTTAAAATGAAAGTATATCACCACATTTTTAAACATTTTAAAACAGTATGCACCAAAACAAATTGTACATCATTATCTCAGTTCTGATTAAATAAGACTTTGTCAGCTATATGGCTATGTCTTATGAAAATTATGCTAAAACCTAAATGCATGCTACATATATTTTCATACCGAGTACAGATCTCCCTCGATTACGAGTTTTCTGTTAAGACGATTTTGTCAATAATGGTCACACCGCAGCTTTTATTTCTGTAATAAACTTTGTCATATGAAAGATATGAAAGATATAACAAAACCTCTACACACAAAATATATAAAATCCCCCCTCTATGTATAGTACCTTTAAGATATGTTGGTATACGGATGAATGTACGAATGTTTACATGTTTGTATATCAAGAGATAGATAGACAGATCTACAAATAAATACTGTAAATAAGTAGTAAACATTCTACCGAAATAGAATACATAATAAAAGTATCTATACATGCGTAAAAATAGTTCTCAGTCACTTCATGCCACAAGAACTTGAGAAAGAATAATTAAAAAACTGAAACACGATCCAAACACGAGACTGATTTACAAGCAAGTTTCTTGACTTGAAAACATTATGCCCTGTATATGTTTTATTTTTTTTTTTTCGATTTTTTTTTTGTTCAGAAAAAAAAAGAAAAGTATGTTTGATATATAGGTTGTTGGGTCAAACACCAATGTGTATGTGTGTATATACCCTCGATGAAAACATATAGGTATTAGATACATCATACTGTTTATCTTATACATTTCTTGATTATTAGGTTTTGCTTTTTGAGGAGAGTATTACATTGAGAATTCCAAATATACGTTGTGGAAATTTCCAGAAAATGACCATGCACCAATTTGAAACATTCAGCACTTTCAGGTTGCAAATAATTGATAAGAATCTGGTTAAAATGATAGATGTTTATAAAGCAACTATCGTCTGTCTGAAATATTATTGAAATTTTAGTATGACGAATTGAGCTAAACAAAACGGCCTCCATTTTGGAAATTTTAATGAAATATTGAAATTTTAGAATTAAGCTAACATAAAAAGGCTGCATTTTAAAAGATTTATGGTAGCCATTATCTTATTGTTGATGAGTATAATATGTATGTGGCTAACAGTCTTTCTATTTTTCTTAAATATAGAACTGCTTTAAGTGTGCAATATATAGAAGTGACAACTGTCGTATACTAGACAGTGCAGTTTTATCCTGGTTGAGACATAGGACTTTATTTTCATTAGAAAGTTTCAGCAACTGTGCCATTATTTTAATCGATTCGTTCACTGATGAGAGTATACCATACTTCTAGGTTTTTATTATTATTACAGTTTTAAATCTGTTTCATATCAAACTTTTTATGTTACGTATTATTATTATTAATATAAACCGAAGCTATAAACACAGCAATAATATAAATTTTCAAATTATGTGCAGCTATCATCCAAAATGGCCGTTTGAAACACATTTCAAAAGTTAATTTCTGATTAGCTGAATACTCAAAGCTAATCACACGAAACAGATCAATTTACAGGCATGTGTCATAGGACAGTTATATTGATTAAAACTATTGTTCATTGGAAAACAAAATATTTTTATAAAATTAATAAATGACTGAAACTATCAAACGACATTCTTCAAAAACATCTCTTTTGATTTATAATCCAGTTTCACCAATAAAATGCTTTAATTTGAGAAAAAAATTGTACTCTTGAACGAAATGATCACCCAAACCATGCTTAAATTATAAATGAACTTTGAACTCCTTAGATGTCTTTGTTTATGCGCGATTTCTATATTTAATGCATATTTCTAATGAAGGGAATGTGTTCTTGATAGGTGTCTTATACGGTTATTAGTAATAACTGTAGTGGTCTTAAAACTGTGACTTCACTGTATATGTATATATACACCCCATCATAAACCCATACCTTTGTAGTTTAAATAACACGCTGGTGAGAACTGGTGGACACCATGACAGAAGAAAAGACAGAGAAAATATAACAAGTATATATTATCAATAACCGTGGTTGTAAATACGTAGAATCCACCACTTTTACGATGCCACTCAAATATTTACTAATCGGCGAAATCTTTTGAAATGTTCTCCCACCAAACAGAAATATGAATTATCACTTTACCCACAATAAATGATCAAACAAATTTAAACATGAAAATAAACAAAATGACTGAATGAGGTACATCAATTTCTGGTATTAAGTCAACAATTTTTCTACCAAAGCATTTTGCAAAATTGTGTATACGATACATTAAAGTATGGATACAAAATTAGAACAAATTTATCTCTGATTAAGAAAGAATACGAAAGTGTCTTCTGTTGATCATTTAATTTATATTTTAAAAACTCCCGTTTCTCTCAAAATAAATTGCTTGCATCAAGCCATTCTAATTCAGTTAGAAGGTGCCAAGTTTAGTTATAAATATTTATGAAATTATTCATTTAAAACTGTATTATTCTTTATAAGGAATATATTTCGATATAAGTGTCAAAAAGTTTACCACAGTCTGGTGATCCATTTTCTGATTGCTAATGAGTATTTCTTTGAACACTATGATTAAATAAAACTTAGCATTAATCAAATTAATTAAGGGCATGTATAAAATGATTAGAAAACAAAAGTAATTTTGTCCATGCTGAATATTTTAAAAAATATAAGCAAACTATGATAAACAGATATATATTGTCAGCTACTATTATTAAAATGTATCTCAGAAAGTTATGATAATGAAGATGAAGACTTCGAATTTATATATGGCTATTGATTTGATGTAAGTCATAATATATTGTTCTAAGCAAGCCCATTTCGTGGTGCATAATATATTGAAATATACATCAGAAATCTATATGGATATGACAAAGATTATGATGATGAAGATGAAGTTTTTCAAATAATATGAATAATAGGTATGACGTAATTAATCACCCTTAAATCAGAATTTGCATTGTTCTAAGCATGTCAATTTCCAGGGTGAAAAAGATATTGAAATGTTCATCAGAAATCTATGGACATGACATTGATTATGATGCTCGTCATTTTACTGATGGATATAAGTATAAATAAGTATTATATAAGATAGTATGTAGGTATATACTTACAACCATCGAATTGTTGTGCATCTCTGAAAGCATAGTAAAGTTATCACAAGTTGTAACAGCCAAGACGTTCTCAATCTCCTCATAATGCTTAATATACTCCGTGAGAAAACAAACACTCTTTTGTAACGTATAGATCCACTCGCGTAACACACGGGCTTTTTACGCCATTCACATAATAAAACATCCAAATTCTTTTCAAAAGTTTTCAAACTCTAACTACCTGAGAAAAAAGAGGACAATTTCCTCGCCTCACATTCTGTATATTTAAAAAGATTATCACATATATATTTTGTAGGTAGATATCTGTATATACATATATATACTACCACACATGTATTACATACATACACAATCGTGTATACTTATATCAGACGTCGTATTCAAAAACTTCACGAAATAAACCAAAATGACGGAGCATGCATAGTTTCAAAATAGTCAGGTGCTTCTATTCTTCTGTTATAACTCCCAACCATTTTCTTTCTGTCGAAATAATCAGAGAATTAAAATCAAAAGATGTATGAAAAAATTCCCAAAACCTTTCCGGTGCGACAAATGTTATCTCCAGCGATGCCCAGAGTAATAGTCCTGTGTATGCACGGGAAGACGTTATTTGATAAAATGAAGTGTGGTATGAAGTCGTCTATGTTTATAAGCCACGGTTAGACTCACAACATGTTTCCCACACGGTTCGTCACACTTAAAGGCAAACCGACGTTTCCAGCCTCTTACACCCCTTACATTATATATGTATATCCACATTTATTTGAACATACAGACACATATATACAAATTATGTGCGCGTGTATATATATAATATACGCACTGGTTGTGCGAGTCATTGTAGTCATGATCGTGCATTACGTCATTTCATTGTTTGAAGAGAGATTTTTGGGCTGTAGTTTTGATTTTTTTTTGGAATCAGTAAGATCAGACGATGTTCGTGAGTTGAAGACGAGAAAATGAATGGCGTGCGTATTTCTATGATTTTTTTCCTCTGCACCTTGCATTCTCAACTTTCTGGTAACGTTGTAAGTAAATTGTATTTATTTGTTTTAACATAAGTTCAAATTGATGAAGTAATCGGAGGTATTTGTACAAAAATAAACAAAACATATTTCATATTAAGAGAGAGGGGTAGAGGGAGGCGGAGACGACGAAAGACCTTTGCAACTGCTCTTTGGAACGTCAAAACAGAAAAGAATTGAAATAAAAAAAAAAGGTAAACGTTTGAAGATATTCTACATCTAAAAGATATTTATTTATGACCAGTGATTATTTCGAGATAATATGCAAAGTTATATCAATTATATCCTATTCATTCCTATATTTATTACTTCTAACAAAAAATTATATATTCTTTTATATATTGTTCAAACATATCTAGATTCTAGGCTAAACGTCACTGCATGTGTCCCGTCAAAGCTAGACAATAAATATTTATGACTGGGATAGTACAATTGACGGCAACAACTCAGGGGGGTTGCATATTCTAGATTTTAAATTGTGTTTAGAAGAGTTGAAATGTCGCTAAGTTTATAGTAGACAGTATTTATCTTTAGTTTGTACACTTGACCCACTATTTCAAATGACGTTTAACAGATTTTTTTGTCTGTTTAAAACAGAAGGAACAGTCCTAACAGTTGATAATGATACGCCCATTACTGTCTCTTCGAAATGGATACCCTTTAACATAAACGCGTACGAAAACCAACCCTACCAGAATCGAAGACACTTCAGTTGGAAATATATTGAATTTACAGAAAATTTGTAATAGAAAAACTATAGAAATTCATAATGAAAGTTAAATTATAGATAACTCGGTGTATATTAATGTAATAAGGGTTAGATGCTAGTATTATAGAAACAAATTATGTAATAATGGGTTAAATGTTAGTATTTTAAGAATAAAGTCATGTAATACTGGGTTAGATGCTAGTATTATAGAAACAAATTATGTAATAATGGGTTAGATGTTAGGATTATAGAATAAAGTCATGTAATAATGAGTTAGATGCTAGTATAATACAAACAAATTATGTGATACTGGGTTAGATGCTAGTATTATAGAAAAAAATTATGTAATAATGGGTTAGATGTTAGTATTATAGAATAAAGTCATGTAATAATGAGTTAGATGCTAGTATTTCAAACAAATTATGTAATAATGGGTTAGATGCTAGTATTATAGAATTATAGAATAAAGTTATGTAATAATGGGTTAGATGTTAGTATTATAGTCATGTAATAATTGATAAGATGCGAGTATTATAGAACAATATTATGTAATAATGGGTTGGATGTTAGTATTATAGAATAAAGTCATGTAATAATGGGTTAGATGTTAGTATTATACAATAAAGTTATGTAATAATGGGTTAGATGTTAGTATTATAGAATAAAGTCATGTAATAATGGGTTAGATGTGAGTATCATAGAATAAAGGTTAATTATAATGGGTTAGATGCTAGTGTTATAGACTAAAGTTATGTAATAATAGGTTAGATTCTAGTATTATAGAACAAGATTATGTAATAATTGGTTAGATGCTAGTATTACACAATAAAGTTATGTAATAATGGGTTAGATATTAGTATTATAGAATAAAGTTATTATGTAATAATGGGTTAGATGCTAGTATTATAGAACAAGATTATGTAATAACTGGTTAGATCCTAGTATTATAGAATAAAGTCATGTAATAATTAATTAGTAAGATGCTAGTATTATAGAATAAAGTTATGTAATAATGGGTTAGATTCTAGTATCATAGATTGAAGTTACGTAATAATGGGTTAGATGCTAGTATTATGGAAAAAGATTATGTAATAATTGGTTATATGTTAATATCATAGAATACAGTTATGTAATAATGGGTTAGACGATAGTATTATAGAATAAAGTCATATAATAATGGGTTAGATAGCATTATATAATAAAGTTATGTAATAATGGGTTAGATGATAGTGTTATAGAATGAAATATGGACAAAATAAACTTCTAAGTAACTTGTATACCATATAATTGTGTCATGTGTTATTATAGAATAAAGTCGTGTAATAATTGGTTAGATGTTAATATTATAGAATGGGGGAATATAATAATGGACTATGTTAGGGTAAGGTACACATTATGGTATAGAATAATGTACACAATAAGATTATGGTATAAGTTATATTATAGAGTATTAGTAAGAAATTAAATTCGAATTCAGTATCATATTATAAGATAAATGAAATAAAGGTTAAATAATTACGTATACCGCTTCTCATTAACGAATTATTTTTTCGATCACTTACATGGAGAAATACACTGTAAAAAGAACGTTGTCAGTTTTTCAAGTTATGTTTTAAACTTTTGTGTAAACGATTGTTTGTCATTTTAAACTATTGTACAATAATTAACTTTTGATCTACTGTTTAATAACTAACTATTGTGTAATACTTGTAATTAAATTTGAACTACTTTGTACTACCATAATAGTGAACATTTTTGTTATACTTTTCAAACTGTATTGTTTTAACAGAATTGAAAGAATTAAATTTTAACCAACTGCCAAAAATATAGTGTTATAGTTAAAGTTAAAATTGGTGTATAATAGCTATATGTTACAGCAATTAGAATATTGTCAAATAGTTGGCGGTAAGATTATTTGTATTCAAGATATTGTATAAAGATATTGTATAATAGGTAAACTGTCCATAATATTTTGTTGAAAGTTAATATATACATCTACATCATAAAAATGTAATAGGTTAATTGCAATATATACATAATCATTTAAAAATCCATCGCATACATGTAGCAATTAACTTATAAAATAAAGTATTGTGTCGCAAGTTGCCTTATTAAACATATTAAAAAACTAACTGCACAATAGCTTACGTTAAACTAGTAAAAATGGAAACTTTTTATAGGAATATGCATTTTCGAAAAAATACTTTTTAAAATATTAATTTTCGTAAATAATCATCTCTGCATCATCTGGTGTGTAAAGTTTACACTTTTATGAAGATGTTAGTGAAAAGGGATATATGTATGTAATGTTATGTAAAGTAATAATTCTTGTAAAATATCTATGTTAAAGATATACATGCTAACATTAAAGAATTACTTTTATATATAAAACATATTTATTAAATATATGAATTATAAACACCATCTGGTCTAAACATAAACATCAGATAATTTCATAAAATAATCCAATATATAACATGAAAATCCACTTTATCTTCAGTTAAAAAGCAAAAGGACATTTTGCTTACTGAAAAGATTTAGCAAATCGACATACGAAAAACTGTAGTTAGAATAACAATTAAATTGTCGATGTTCAACGATATTAAAATCGGATTATCACGATTCAGAAATAAATGACGGCTTTTGTGGAATAACAGTTTAATCGAAATTGATCATTAGTTGTAAGATGGCATAAATGATCGTCAAAACAATTTATATAAACTTTTTGAGAGTGCTCGCCCCCAATGTGTAATTGAGTGAACTGATTAACGCGTCTACTGGGTGTAATGTAAATGCTCAACAATAACCCATGCCATATCTAACACTCCGCATACAGAATTGGTGGAGTTGGGTGGGGGTATGGTGGTTTTGGGGTTGATATGGAGTAAGGCAGCTGATTTTTCCGGAAGTGACAAAGCTCTCATGTTTCTGGATTGTTTTGATCTTGGCCAGGGTAAAAGTCTTATTGCCCTTGGTTTGATTTAGGCTGTTTTGTTTTCGTTTCTATGGTTCAATGTCGTGAGACATAAAACAGATTTTAAATAAACTGCATTCATATTTAAGTAGATGTCGAGTCAAAGAAATATCGGGCTCTACGTGGATTGTGCACGGAATTGTGGGATAACACACAGAGCGGTAGACAACAAAATCAAATAAAATTTCAAAATAAACTGGTTACGTCATTAAGACACACTTCACTTACATGAACCTCCCATGTGTATGGCACGTATTAGACCACTCGGCAGCCCAAGCCCCCACCCCTCCACTATTTTAGTCACGATTTTAAGATTTGAGGGCGACAATAGTGTTTCCGCAAACTCTTCTTCAAAATCTAACTATCAGGGGTCCTGTCAGGTACACTACCAATACATATATATTAGGTAATGAATCCTAAGCATAAATATATTTGTATCCCGGGATCTTTTCGTCTTTCGTCATATTTGAATGACAACACATTTCCTTTGTTAGTCTTGCAGACGAGAGCCCATGGGAGGATTCGAACCCGGGACACATGAAATGGGTTTAACCGCCTACTGTTGAGCTGCACCAACTGGCCTAATGAAGAGTGTAGTCTGTAAGGTAAGAAAGAGACACACAGATCCGATTTTTACTTAGCGTGTTTAACTTCCTGGAAATGTGATCTGTAAAAATAGTTGTATCTTTAAGGAATGCAGTTCAATTTCACTCATGTCATTTTTTTTAAATACTATTCATGCAGTAGGCCAACATAAGAAAAGGGTGTAAAAAGAGAGAAAAATGTGTTTTTGAATCGTTGATTATAATACCAGGCCAAGTCTACAGTTAGTTGCTTTTATGAGAGTGGTTATTGCAGTTTAGATACACATAAACATATATAAATCTACATATATTTGATTAACAGTGGGGAATAATTGAAATGCAATACAGTTGGGTCATAAAACAGCCATACCAAATACATTTGGTTCACAGTCTACGTAAGATGGCTTAAACAAAAAAAACCGATCTGAAGCATTTTCTAAGCTTGGCGATACAATAATAAAAGAATCTGATATCCTATGATCTCTGAGTGC